ATGTAAGTTTACAACCTCGCTGCCTGTTCCCCGCTACTTTATTTGGTGGGATGGACAACGCACCGACCAGTTCACATCATGATCGAACCCCGCAGACCGCTCGCTCCCACCACTCATTGAGCCAGCGAGTCACTCTGACAACTCCCGTCACCGCCAATAGGCAACACATACATCCTGAACCGAGCAGCCCCGATCTCTACAGGCTTGGCTCGGTGGGTGGCAGCTTCCCCCGCTCCCGCTCCCTTCTCTATCGAGATGAGTGACCTCTCTCTCTCTCTCTGCGTATGCGAACTTCAGCCGACAGATGAGCAACGCATTGGCCACCAGGTAAGTCTCCAACCCTCGTGGCTGGCTTCGCATCTATTGCTTCGATAAGACAAACAATCCGCTAGAACACAGGAAGGTACATCGCTATTCCTAGGGTCTCCTCTTCGTAGGCGCAACTTTACTTCCTTTCAGCACAGGAGCTACCACCTTTACGCGAGTTCCATCCGTGTTGTTGGATTCACGACACTTCAAAACCACGACCTCTCTCCTTGGTTTGCACGGTTCTATCACGGATCGGGCGGAACTTCGTTATTTCATTCCTCCATTCTCCCGCTTACTTTCACCATTACCACACTGCCTCGCATGTCCTTTATCTTCTGACTCTTATCTTACTAATCTAGAGGTCGATCTAACCCTGTCATCGGATTCGCAACACTTAATAACCCTGAAATCCTACCATCATTCATCAAGAACAGCCGAGAGGCGACCGAACCAACTGATTTTCCACTACTGCTCACTCCTTCTTCCCGCCATAGCCCAACGCACCCTGTTCTCCTAGTAACTCCTAACTCACTAATTTTCTGGCAAAACTAACCTCACTGATAGGGTCGCCCTGGCCCAAACCTTCAGATCGAGCCCCCCCCTTGCCTGATAATGTTAAAAAAAAATGAGGGAGATATACACTCCCTATTCTTCCTTGGCACACCGTTTTCTCTTACTAATCTCTAATCTACTAACTTAAAGCTGAAACTAACCGCAGATTTAAAGTCGCCATGGCCTAAGACCTCGGAATAGGCTCTTCCATAGCCTAATCGCACCAAGAAGCGGGCGACACTAGTAACTCTTCTCCGCCATCTTTTGCTTCCCTCGTCGCACCGCCATCCAAGCTTTCGAATGTACCTGGCCCAAACGTACGCCCGGGTTCCTCCCTCTTCTCCTGCTGCGCGTTACTTCCCACCTCTCCGTTTCGCTTCTCAATCCCTCGATATTTAACACAGCGACTTGCTCGACAACCCGACGACCGAGGAAACTCCTGAAGGAAACAACCACTAGATAACGCGAGTAGCCTTTCCCTTCTGTACTCAGCCCCGACAACCGAGCTACGCAGCAGCACCACTGCGGTCCTCCCTACAACGCGTTGTCGATAACGGACTCGATAGCGATGAGCTTCGGCCGTAGAAAAAATTGAAGGGAACGAACGAATGAGTCAAATTAGACTCCCCACGACCCTCCCTCGATTTATACGTATCATCCTTGAGTAGGGGCCGGGCTAATCTCCTCTGTACTGTTCCAATTTTTACAGATGTCCCGAAGGACTACTAGGCCACACAACCCTTGGGCCGGGCCTACCGATGGAATGCCATCGTGACCCCCTTCCTCTCACCTAGGGCCGACTGTGACCCTTATTCCAACAGTCTATAGGCATACCCACCGAGTCATGCTCATGGACCCTCGGCCCGGGCTCGGAACCGGTACCCGCCCAAATAGAACCAAAAATAATATAAAATAAAATAAAAATAAATGAAAGTCGAAAAAGGAGGTTCTAATATAGCAAGCCGACGGGGAGAGGAGGAGGGACCTTTCGGCACTCCCCTGATCCTGCCAATCGGGCCCGCGAGCGGACTTCCCCAGCAAAACTAAGGGGGATAGTCCCGCGGGACCCTCAACCCCTCAGCTCCTTCATTGCTCCTCTGCTCCCAGGCTACTGCCTGTTGGCCTCGATCCTCGCACTTCTGTTTTGCCAGTCTGATACCGTAACGTATAGGTCCCAACCTGGGACTAGTAGGCGCAAATTCCTTTATAAAGTGGTGTGCACCGTGCCCCGGGCCAGGAAAATGCCCTGGGCCACACTCTAACCTACGTCCAGGCCTACGGCTGCTTAACCGTCACGCCGGCATACCCAAGCTGCGCCGTGGCTACCACACAAGCCCCACCCCGGGCGCCAGACCTACCATCGGTTAGGCGCAGTGAACCAGAGTCAAAACCTCTTAATCCCTTGTCTAATCGATAACCAAAAACTTAAGTCGGTCGACTATACCGGTTCCTTAATCAAATACAAGGAGAAAAAATCACATGCGCGGCTTAAAACTGCGCGTTCACTCGCCTCCTTTATTCAGACAACCCTTAGTCTGCGTACGGACGACCACCGTGGTCCGCGCAGACGCTCAAAGACTCCAAATTAATTTAGCTTTCTGTCACTTGCAAAAACCAGTGCGGATACCTCTGTCAGGGTATTCGCACCGACACCGTTTGCTCCGCTGCCTCAGCATTCCCATTCCCTCTTTTGCCTTCACGTGGTCGCCTGCCGCCAGTCTCCTCAAGCTATTCTCCTGCCACTGACGCCACATCCGGCCGCAGCGGCCACGCAACGCCCTGCACATTCTGATCAGACTCATTGTGGGAGATATTACGAAATCGGTCGACTACTGGACCGGTCGATTAATCTTTCACCCCTATACCCTGCTCGATAAGTCCGCCCAACTGATTTCGTTGCCAGCCCCACTGCAGCCTCCCCTTGCCCGTATTACTCCGGCTGAGCCAACGACCTCATCTGGTCCCCAATGGGCTTACTCCCACTTACCCCTTTCACTGCAGGTCGTGGAATCAGGGGCACTGACCCGTTGCAACTGTGGTATGAGCCTTGGGGAAGCAGTCCTCCGGGCTGATCTTAGTACTAGTACAGAACCGACACGCGAAGGGGGTTCCTTGTGGCCCGTGGCTTGTCGCTGCGCCGCGGCGGCCTCCCCACAATGTCCTAGGCTGCTCCTCACTACTGCGCCCGGGCATAGTTTCGTGCCCTAACGGGCAATCTCACTCCCAAACCTCTCATAGCAGGTCGCTGGCCACTAGGCTGAACGCCCCCGTTAGGCCCACGACACCCAAGGCCGTTCCGCCCCGCGGCTAATCACCCACCGGCTTACGTACATACTGACTTCCTCGGTCCACATTTCAAGACGGACAGGATAGAAAAATTTTGTCAACATCTTGGCTCGCGGGACCCTATAGGTCAATCAAAAGAGGCGCATGCTCAAGGTCCTCGACCGCCTTGACGTCCTCCAAATCCAGCGTCGCGTTTGAGTCAAGGAGCACCGAAACAAAAATATTAAAAATATCTAGAAACTTTTAATCGTCGGAATATGACGAACGAGGAAAAGGAAACCGTTAGTACCGTTCCAACGCCGCCGAAGGGAAAACCAAAGGGGATAGCCCCACCGACTGCAAAACCAAGGGTGATAGCCCCGTCGGGCCCTCAACCCCTCGGTCCCTTCGCGCTATTCTAATATCCCCGCGTCGTCGCCGCTCGTTCTTGATCCCTGAATATCCTTGATGAAAGTCGGATACCGTAACCGCTAGTGCTAGGCCCAAGTCTGGTTTTTAGCTCTGACGGACGCCTAAACAAACGGACACCGTGCGACGCGCGGGTCTACGGAAAACACTTCAAGGCCCCCTTGTTGTCGATGTCGTTCTCTGCGCGTATGCGTAGGTCACAGGCAAGCATACCAATCTTTTTAATCCTAACTCAATTAGAGTAAAAAAAAAAAAAAAAAAAAAAAGGTCGGGCAGCTACGTCGACTTTCATAATCATCAACCAAAAATAAAACGATCACGCGCGCCTCGAATCTGTGCGGCCACACAGAAAAAAAAAATAAAAAAAATTTGGGCCAGCAGCTACGCTGACTTTCATAATCATCAACCAGAAATAAAACGATCACGCGCGCCTCGAATCTGTGCGCCCACACACTCTCTACTCTAGTCAACCATCCAGCCTACGTAAATTACAGACGCAGCTGCGCCTCACGTGGAATACTTAAAACTTTAAACCAAAGCTATTTTCTATCGCTTGCAAAAACCGGTGTAGCCAACGTGGAGGCGTGGAAAACCGGGTGGACCGGTAGATGCGGCGGAATCTCGACCACAAATGAGGGGTCGTCGGGCTCGTCGTCCTTGGCTGATGTTACGGTCCAAGGTCCAAACGACTTGGGGAAGAGCTTGCGCGAGATGTCTTGCTCGAGTGCAAACTCTTCCGTGGAGACCCAAACCAGGTGGCCGGCGTGGATAGGATATGCAAGTGGCGCCGATTGGCTCGCTGCTGCATGCGAACTTGAGCCTTTTGCATGTTTATGTGGGCTTTGGCCAGCAAGTCCCCGTACTTCCGAACAGAGGCGGGAGAGCAAGGGCGTCAATATCGGCAGTCTGTGGGAGTAGGAGATCAGCAAAGATACGGCCTTTCCGGCCACCGTGGTGCAACTCGAAGGGAGTCATGCCGATCGTCCGATGCAACGAAGTGAACTCGATGTCGTGGAGGCAGTCCACCTAATCCTTCTGGTCCGGACGGATGCGCGTACGAAGCATCATTTGAGCAGTTTGATGTGCCCGCTCCGTTTGCCCGTCTGTTGTGGATGCCGAGCCAAACTCGGTTTCGTTTCGGTGCCGGATTCCTTCATGAGAGAAGCCCAAAATGTCAACATGAAGCGAGTGTTGTGGTCGTTAACGATGTCTTCTGGAATGTCGTGGGTGCAAATCCAGCCAGTGTGCAAGAGGCGCGCGAGCTCGGGAGCCGTGGTGTAGTACTTGCAAGGAAGAAATCACGCGCATTTGCTCGATCGGTCAACAACCGTGAGGACGTCGTCGTGCCCGAGGCGGTCGTGGGGAAACGGGCCTGTGACGTCCATAGCAACGGAGAGGCCGGGGCCCGGCCACCTGAATCGTTGCCAAAGTCTTGCGATTGTTAGGTTGAATTCGAAGTGTTCGGAGAGTCGCGAGTCGTGGTACTCGCCGAGGAGGTGAGTCCGGAGGCAACGGTCTTGTGGGACTCAATAGTAAGTCCTTGCCTCGCGAGTGGAGAAGCAAGTACCCATCGACGATGCAATAGTTGTTGGGCGGCGGGTGATCCGAAGATAGCTGCGCATATAGCGTGGCGTAATCCGGATCGGACCCGTAGCCGCGGATGAAATGCCATTGGAGCTCCTCATCGAATGCGAAGGCATGATGTGTCATGGCGCAAAGATCGGGTCTTCGCGATAGTGCATCGGCTGCGCGATTGGAGAGGCCGACGAGATGTTTCGGTGTGAAGTCAAATTGGTCGATGAAATACATCCATCGACTGATCGTGCTGCTCACCGTATCTTGCGTCTTGTTGGAGGGCAACGGGTTGTTATCAGTGACCCATGTGAACCTGCGACGCCCAAGGAGGAAGTGCCGCCATTGCTTGAGAGCCATCACGAACGCGAGCAGCTCCTCCTTCCTTGCATCATCAAGTGAGTTGATGGGAGGCACCTTGTGGCTGAATTACTCCGCGGGATGCCTGTCGTCGCCATTTTGTTGTTCCAGGACTGCCCCAATGCCATAGCCGGAGGCGTCGGTTGTCACGTTCATTGGCAAGGTGGGGTTATAGATGCTAAGGACGGGTACCACGAGCATGGCCGTCTTCAGTGCTTGGAACGGCCGACATGTTTCGTTGTCGAATAATCTCGCCAATGGTGCAGCGATCCTTGAGTACTCGGTGATGAAGCGTTGGTAGTAGCCTGCCAACCCCATGAATGAGCGAACGTCCGTGGTGTTGGTGGGCTCGAGCCATACGCGGATGGCCTCAATCTTGTCCGCGAGTGGATGGATCCCTTGCGGGGTCACATAATGGCCCAAGTATTCGAGCTCTTGCCGCGCGAATTCACATTTGTCGTGGTTGGCTTTGCACTTGGCTTGTCGTAGCCACTCCAAGACGGTTCCCAGGTGGTCCACATGTTCGTCCAAACTCTGGCTGTACACCAAGATATTTTCGAGGTAGATGAGCACGAATCTGTACAGTACCCACCACCACACACTCCTCACCAACACCCTACTGAGCGCAATCCTGAAGATGCAATTTCGGCATGAAACCTAACGTCAGACGCTCTCAGGTAGTGATGGCTGCCTCAGTCCATCATCTTGCCACTGTCTGGGTCTACCAACTGTTATGAACATGATTGCCCGTTGAAATTTTGTCAATGCTCACACACAGGAACTCCCGTACACACCCATACATGCACAGAAGGAAGGGGAGAGGTAGTGGAGTGTCACACCGCCCAACAAAAGAAACGCAGCGGAAGACTCAGGGGAGCGAAGTGACAGAATACACAATACAGTGAATTCTCTCCATGTATGTCCCAACAATCATTCATAGAGGACAACCGAGTGATCACAGCCAGAAAACCAATGAAGAGATGACCACTCAAACACAGTATTACAACTGTTTATTAAACTCAGAGCATCGTTTTCACTGAATAACCCCAGGATCCTGTTGCGCCACCCTTAGAGGGGTAGCGCCTCAACCGCAACACCCTGAACAGCTAAAAATAGCACCGAAACCCCAGGTAACACCCAGCGCCACCCTGACATCCAACTTAGTGGCCTGCGGCAAAGTGAAACAGGCTCCCAGAGCCAATCGCCATCCAGATGATGAAGAAGAAGCTCAGCGCCAACAGTCCCTGATGAAGATGAAGTCCAGACGATGATATCTCTGAGAAGATGCAGCTATGGCTGCATCGCCACTGGGACCCTACTCCTGAGCAGGTTCAGCAGTGCACCACGTGCTCCAACGCATCAGACCTCTGATAGCCCAGACCGCCTTGATTCCCAGAGAGTCAGAGCGGACAGCGTTGACCCCAGTCTGGTCAGCGCTCCGGAGGTCTGGCTATGCCCGCCGTCTCCAACACCGGAATCAGCAACCACAACCTGATACCATGTGCGCAGCAACTTCCACCACGAAGTGTCAACTGCCAAAAACCCAGGACCAATGTCCCCATCCTATCTATACTCTACTACTAGCGTAGACCGACCTAGACCGGACTGACTGACCGACCGTTTCTGTTTTGGCCTCTAGGGGCTCTCCCTACCCGGCTATAGGCTATAGGACCGTCTATCAGCGCAGGCCCATAGGGCCCGTCTGTCCTAGGGGTAGCCCGGGTCTGCTATTCGCAGTTAGAGTAGCTGTAGGAAAATCAAATTAGTACTGGGACCAGGGTAACCGGCGTTCGGGACGGGCCGAACGCCCGAACCCGAACGCCCGAACGTATGGGACCCCTTGGGGATGCGTTCGGCCGTTCGGGCCGAACGCGGACCCAAAAAAAA